TGAAATAGAAAATACAGTTTTGAGGGGTTTAACTCAGTTATGTGTAAATACTTATGTGTAAATTTAACTATTTACAATTTGAAATACAGTACACACAATTATATAGTCATGTGTACATATTAATGTATAAAAAGAACTCTGGTTTGAGAATTAGTAATTCAAAACAATAGAATGTTATTCTTTTTTTTTAGTTATATAACTTTTAGAATTGAATTCAGCAGGAAAAATCAACTATGGAGTTTTAAATCTTCTTGCATTTAAAGAATCACACTTGATTTTTACATATTTCATATTTATCTATCTCTATTTCTTAATGGGGTTCAATTTTTTTAAAGTTTTTATTTTTTTTTTATTTATGATAGTCATACAGAGAGAGAGAGAGGCAGAGACATAAGCAGAGGGAAAAGCAGGCTCCATGCACTGGGAGCCTGATGTGGGATTCGATCCCGGGTCTCCAGGATCGCACCATGGGCCAAAGGCAGGTGCCAAACCGCTGCGCCACCCAGGGATCCCAATTTTTTTTAAATGTTTTATTTATTTATTCATGAGAGACACAGAGAGAGAGCCAAAGACATAGGCAGAGAGAGAAGCAGGCTCCATGCAGGGAGCCCGATGTGGGACTCCATCCCAGGTCCCCAGGATCACGCCCTGAGCGGAAGGCAGATGCTTAGCTGCTGAGCCACCCAGGCGTCCCTGAAATTCAAAATTTGCAACTAATCTTCCATCTCTATTGTCTCCCTTTATTTTGTTTTATAAAAACAAGTGGTGTTGTATCTACATATTTACGGTTGCTTGACATCCACATCACTACAACTGCAATCAGAAAACTTTCCACAAATCTCATAATCCCTATTGCTAAATTTTCAGAGAAAATAAACTCTTGTTTTTCTGTGAATCTTTGAAATATATATTATCTTCTGTTTTTCATAGTCTGCTTTTCATCTATTATACACAGATGATTTTTAGTAAAACATCATCCCTTCAAAAATGACCATTTTATTGACAGGACAGTAGTCTCCCTTTTTCTGTGGTTTTGGTTGCCTGAGGTCAGCCGTAGGTGGAAAGCAAATGATTCTCCTTCAGGCATATTGTCAGAAGCTCAAAATCAGCTTCATGCTACATCACAATGCCTACAGCACTCACCTCACATCCCCTCATCATGTAGACATTTTATTATCTCAATAAGAGGGATGAGCATAATAAAGGTATTTTGACAGAGAGACCACATTCACATCACTTTTATTACAGTGTATTGTTATAGTTGTTCTATTTAATTATTAGTTATTACTGTTAACATTTTCTATGCCTAATTTATAAATTAAACTTTATTACAGAAATTATGCTAGGAATAAACATAGTACGTATTAGAGTTCGGTACTATCTGTGGTTTCAGGCATCCACTGAGTATCTTGGAACATATCCCCTGTGAATAAGGGGAGACTACTGTATAAGAAATAAGGAATAAAATAAGTAAAATAGCAGAATTTTCTAAATTGTTTTCCTAAGACTGAGTGGTAGCTTCAGGTAATAGTATGAGCCTATTGATACTCTGCGTAAGCTGGGCCAATGTAATAAGAAAAGAAAAGGACAAAATGATATCATGGAATTAAAGTTCTGAAAGGGACAATAAAGTCTGTAATGCTGCCCCATAGTCTTGCAGGCAGGGAACCTCAGAATAAGCAATTTGAGACTAGAGTATTCAATTACACTATGCTGCTTCTCTATTTTCTCCTGGAATGTTGTCAAATAAACCATTTTGAAAGTTCTGGTGATGCTTGTAAGGAAAGCTAAAATATCACAGCTAATTTTATGGTGATTAATCCCCTTACTAGATTAAGAGCTATATTTCTTTAACATTTATATTGTCTGATACAGAGAACTGCACCTGTTAATTTGCAGGTTATCTGCCTTGGAATATAATTAAACAATGAGCAATCTTAAAATTCAACTTTTGGTAACAAAACAAACCAACATAAAAACCCATGATGACCTTTTCTTTCAATCAGTGCTATTTAGCAGTTGTATGTAGCATCACAGTGAGCTGAGCAGGGGAAGTAGAGCCAAGTCACTTACTCTGTTGAAGGATCACACTGTGGAGTTTACCCAGTAGAACAGAATTTCTATTACCCTTTCATTTGTTTAGTGTCTCCAGGGACAGGAGCTTTGGGGCTGACAAGTAGTAATCAATACCATTATTACTGTTGTTGACATTCTTAGAATAATCAATATTATCATAATTTTGTTGTGCTTAGAATGTATGCATCTGCATCTGAGGTGAGAGGAAATGTTTGGAATATATAACAAAAGACTTCTTCACTGCTAGGGAAAATGTGAGAACATTTTTTACTCTTTCATCCATCAACATAAATAGCAACTTGGGTGAACACTTAAAAAAAATAGTGATCCACATCTGCCTTTGATCCACTGAATGGACAGAAAAATAATAACCCCTAAAGAAATTTCCAATGTAAATTTTTCACTTATGCATGGGAGAAAAACAGATTTGTTCCATATTTTTCAAATTCTTTCTTCTATTTTTAACAAAGAATGCACATTTATAAGTGATGCACACCAGTCATGTGTTTTCCTCTTTGAAAACACACTTAGCATTTATTGTTAATGAAGTTTTTCATTTGTGTCCCATATTCTTTCCATCTATAAAGTAGAGATAGTGTGACATTAAAAAAATAATTAAAAGACTTTAATCATGGTTACATGCTCTGACAGAGCTACACAAAGAGACTGTGGAATCTTTAATGGTATGCAATTTATTCATACTTCTAAATGATTCATTAAAATGAAAATATTCATTCTATCAATTGGCTGATTTCTGAAATGAGGAATAAAAACGGAATGCAGTTGTATTAGAATAACTTGGAGATTACAGGCTAATATTGGGGTTAGTGCTACTCTGAAACCAGAAAGCCTGTTGGAATCCATGTCAGCCATAAAACATTTCCTAGAACATCAGATTAATTGCTTAGGTTATGATATGCATGATATTTATGTTAATATCAGTGAAAGTCATATAACTCTTTCAAAAAATATTGAGTGCCAACCAAATGCTAGGTTTTGTTTAGATACTACATCAGGTCAGTGAACAAACTCATCCCAAACCGTGTCATATTACTTATAAATCTCCACAAAAGCTTAGCAAAATAGTTATTATCATAGAAAACAAGTTTTTGAGTCCCAAGTCTCAAGGTATGGGCATATTTGCATAGGGCTTTAGGTATCACTTAACTAACTCTCTGGGCTGAGGTGAGGAACTTTGTGAATAACAGGCCAACTGTTTCCAAAGAGTACATCCTTATTTTTTGTTCTTTTTAATTTTCTTATTCTTAATTTAAAAAAATATTTTATCTATTTATTTATTTATTTATTTATTTATTTATTTATTTATTTATTTATTTAAGGGAAAAAGAGAGCAGAAGCAGAAGGGAGAGGCAGTAGGAGAGGGAAAAGCAGACTCCTTGCTGAGCGGCTCCCCCCAACAACATGGGGCTCAATCCCAAGATCCTGAGATGATGACCTGAGCCAAAAACCAAGGCCCAACCAATTTAGTCACTCAGGTGCCCCTCTTGTCCTTCTTTAAAATTGTACCACATATGTAGAAAATGTCTTACTATTACAGATTGTACAAGTTCTTTTCAAATTTAAGATGCTTTTAGGGACTTTAACAGCATTGTCAATATCTTAGAAATGTCTAGTTGATATCTTGGGAAAGAGAAGTTAGAAATTATCTACAGACAAAAAAATGGGCACAGACTAAGCGAAGAGAAGACAGAGACAAATTTATAATATTGACTATGGAGATCTAGGTAGAAGGATGCTGTGTTCTTTCGAATATATAATTAGAGCCAAAACCATTTTCCCTCCTCATATTTATACCTGGTTGGAGTAATGATTCATGGAGGAAGGAAGTTGGGTGGTGTTTTGAGTGAGATTTGAAAAAGATCTAAGATAAATGGATAAATGATGAAGGCAGAGAAAGAGGGGGAAATGATGTAGGAAGCCAAATGTAATCTGCATTTGTGGTAGCAGTGAGACTAGAATGTATTATAGAGAAAGCACTCAGGATATATATTTTAAAAAAGTACTGTGGGAAGACTTCTCACAAGATGGATTTTTGATCAGAGTGATAGTCTTTCCACTAGTGATTACAATTCTGCAACGTATCTATTTATTTATTAAAGATTTTATTTATTTATTCATGAGAGACACAGGGAGAGAGGCAGAGACATAGGCAGAGGGAGAAGCAGGCTCCTTAGGGGAACCTTATGTGGGACTTGATCCTGGGACCCCGGGATCACGACCTGAGTCAAAGGCAGATGCTTCACCACTGATCCACCCAGGTGCCCCTGCTATGTATTTGAACCAAAATAAGTATGTTGGTATTTAAAGCCAAAATTAAATCTATTAATTGTACATGCCCCAAATTTTAAAACTCTAGAAATCAGGTGAGCTTTTGTGGTTGTTGTTTCCTGGTACACGTGGCAGGTGAACTAAATCTGTCTTGACTTAAAATATTCTTTTATATTCTAAAGAGAGGTGCATCATTTGCTTCTCATGATACAAAATACATGCGTGCCTTTTGAAGAAATTGGTAAGCTTAAGAGACTTGATTTTAATTATTTTTTGCTATTTTGTAGAACTAATTACAACAACCCTCAAATGCCAGTGATGAGAAGATATTTAATTAGGAATTCAACAATATTTAATGTAACTGATGTCAAGTGACTGGCATTCGAGTACTCTATTTAGGGTTTGGCATGTCACTACTTTGAAGAAACATCAAATCATTCTAAGAAGATTATAGCAGCAAGCTCTGCTCTACAACCTAACTATGTAGCCAAGCAGGTTTAGACATTCTTGTAAGTGTGGTTGGGGGACCACAGATTAATATGTTGGGTCAGGCAAATATAATTCATGGAATGACACCAAAGGAGGGGCACATGTTTTGTCACATTCTCTGATCAGAGTATATATGCCTCCTTGTAAAGATGTCGAAATTCACACTCTGACTCTTGCATTCAACCGCCAACTCACCACCCTTGACACCATGAGCTACTACGGCAACTACTATGGAGGCCTGGGCTACGGCTGTGGAGGCTTCGGTGGCCTGGGCTGTGGCAGTGGCTGGGGATGTGGCAGCTTCCCGAGACTGGGCTGGGGCTGGGGAGGCTACAGATATGGCTGCGACCGCCCACTGTGCTATGGAGGATATGGATTCTCTACCTTCTATTAAACATACTGTTGAAATTGAATGCAAAGTGGAAGCCTCCAAATTATTTGGTCCTATTTTTGTAGTTTGATTCCCAAAACATCTATCCTATATTCTCCAGGAAGAATCAATAGCTATTTACCAATGGTTAAACTGCTTCTACAAATATTTGGTGCTTTTTACTTCCAGAACCCATCATCTTAAATGAATATTCTATACATGAAACTGTCCCGGTTTGTGTCCTCATTTTGGTTTACTTCTCTTGCCACCATTATCATAATGTTATCTTTCTAGAAGACCTTGAAGAAAATTTGTATTTTTGCTTTTGTCCAATAAAATGATTACTCGAAATCTAAATACTCCGGTTTTGTTTGATGTTTTGATGTCTTGATTTTTATTATTTTAACATCTTCTTTTGCAACTAATATAAAAAATTAGCTTATGAAGCTTTAAGGTCTGTGGCTATTGGTTATAGAGTATGATGCAACAATTTCTAGTTCACCACATTATACAAGCTTGAGAACAAACCCATAGGGAGTAATACTAACAGTCAATGAAAATGACTCTCTCTGTCAGCTCCCTTAACATATATATACATATATCACAAATATATTTATTTTTTAATTTTTTTTAAATAATAAATTTATTTTTATTGGTGTTCAATTTGCCAACATACAGAATAACACCCAGTGCTCATCCCGTCAAATGCCCCCCTCAGTGCCCGTCACCCATTCAACCACACCCCCTGCCCTCCTCCCCTTTCACCACCCTTAGTTCGTTTCCCAGAGTTAGGAGTCTTTATCACATATATATTTATATATCTGTCCTCTCAAATGTCTCTCAAGTGTTCCTGGAACTACTAAGGATTGTGTCATTCTCATATTTACATTCAAGTACATATTTCTGTGTGACATTGCTACTAGCTAAATATTTTCTTTCTTTTAAGGCTATTTATTAGCTTCACAGCATAAACAAGAGGAAGGTACTGAGGTTTCCTACATATCCTCTGCTCCCACACATGCACAACATCCCCCAATATCAGTATGCCCTACCAGAGGGGTACATTGGTTATGACTGATGAACTAACATTGACACATTATAATCACCCAGTCCATACATTATGGTTGATTCTTGGTGTAGTACATTCTAGGGTTTGGACAAATATACAATGACATGAATCCATCATTATAATACCATACAGAATATTTTTACTGTCCTAAATATCTTCCTTTTTTAAGTTTTTATTTAAATTTCAGTTAGTTAACATACAATGTAATATTAGGTCCAGGTGTACAATTTAGTGATTCATCACATTAAGCATACTCCTTAATCTCTGAATATGTCCTATGGTCCTCCTACCCATCCCTTCCCTTGCTGAATATCTTCCTGGTACCACTGGTCTAGCCAGACATGCCTTTGCTTTCTTATAAACTTTGTCTTCGGGCAGGGGAAGAGATTGGAAAGTATCACTCATTACCTGGGCAGGAACTTTATTTCTATAGTTGGCATCTTACTGAGGGCTATTGTCCCTCATAAGGCTGGTCCACCTACCAGTGAGTGGTACAGGGTTCTATGGAAAATAAGGGTGTATGGGGGGGTGTCTTTTCTGATTTCTTTTTACACTCTGTTAGAAGGCACTTAATATTCTCTAGACCTTCTCATGAAGGAACAGTGGTACAAAGTGAAACCTTAGTCACACCCCAGATGCTTTATTGACAAGAGTCTCTCAGGGCTGGAAACTCTGGCTCCATTGTTTAGTCAAGGTCAAACAACCTGGCTCTTTCTTTCTTCAGAATTTATTTCCTCCCAGAAAATTCCTCAATCTCTCATGAGGAACTTCCTTTTAGGCTTATTCCATCAGTTCACCTCTCGGAACAATTGTCTTGGAACATCAACAGTGAGCACAAATTGAATTCTCCCCAGAAGGTTTCTTAGCCAACTTTTGAAGTGCCCAGAACAGCCTGTTTCACCAGTTTGTCTGACATGACCAGACATGTCTGAATCCACTCAGATTCATATTTGGACCCCTATGCTTTATGTCTTGAGAAATTCTTTTTTATCTTTTTGTAAACTGAAAGGAAAGACATTACTATAAGAACAATTTGCCAGAGAAAAACTGTTACCTTTTTACCTGTACTGCAGTTTAGATTTTAAATGAGAAAACCAAACAAGGGAAGTAAGAGAAAAAAAAAAAAAAGATGAAAGAGAATTCATAGATCAGGACCAAGTGACTTAAAAAGAATATGTCTTACATATTTTTGTGAGGATGACATGACAACCAGAGTGATTACTTGCCCAAGTGTATTAAACTAGAAGGTGTCAATTCAAAGGATCTTCAGAAGATCCCTTCTGCATGTATTCAATCTTGCTAGCAATGCTTAAGGCTTAGCATGTTCATACATAAAGCTCAGTGTGTTCTAAATACCTGAGATAAATAGAAGAATTCTTCAGGTAATTGGTTTATGCTCTAACCAGGAAGTACAGTGGAATGATCCCTGTAGATTAATAATAATGATAACTGTAGCTATTATTCTATATGATTTATAATTTTGGTTATTCAGTTTCCATCATCTAAAATATAATAACATTTGAACTAGTTTGTACATTTACATGTGTTCTGTAGGAGGTATAAGTATATATAAAGTTTGCCCTGACAAACATATATAAAAAATCATAGGCCTTTTAAAGAACCATTACTTGGAATACAATATATGTGATTGCTCAACGTAATTACCTCCAGACAGACAGTACACCATACTGAGTATGACCTTGTATACCATGCATATTAGATTTAAATGTTGCCCCTATTTGAAGGTCTTTTTGATTTTTGATCTGAACTGTCCAGATGCTATTAAACTTGATTTGTGGCCAAACATAATTAGTGATTCTCCTGAATGTCCATGGCTTTTAGAAGCATACTGCAGAGGCTAGGTTGATGCTCTTGGTTAAATTGTTAGACACTTGGAAGCCGGGAACATGAAACACGTTTCTAAATTGCAGTCACTAAATAGTTCTGTTGGAAGGAATTTTGTTTATGTTTCTTCCATCAGTAAGACATTACATTCTTCTGAATCTAAGTAGGGGGAAAACGTCCTGATTAAATATAAAGGTCCTAATTTTGAAGAAGACAGAATGGTGTTAGGTGTACTCCTTGTGTGCCAGTGAATAGAGATTGCATGATTTAGGATCCAGGATTAATGTTAAAGGATAGAATTAGAGGGAGAATAATTTCTTGCAACATAGATGCAAAAATTAAATTTGTTTCATCCACTGAAAAGAGTTTTAGAGACATAATAATCATGATTATGTCTCATTACTGACTTCAAATTGGTTATAGGCAATCTAATGATAAAAAAATCAGTATGAAAACTCTTTAATCAATAAAAAGTGCTCTAACAATATTAAAGGGAAGTTTAGTAAATATTTTATCATATATGTGAATAGAATAAAAATCAATATAACTGATTACTTTTCTAAGTCTGAATATATATATTATATTATATTATATTATATTATATTATATTATATTATATTATATATATAAATTTATGTATATTTATATATACAACAAATATAATGTTGGTCTCCAAAATACAGAGGACTAGGGTGAAACTATGGATCTATCTATGGCTCTAGCTCTGAACTTGGAGATACTGAGGCTTATTATTATACATTTAGTTATGTTTCTGACAAGCACCTTGCTGTGGGCTATAGGAACCATCTGGGCTTTATTGTTCAATTGGCTGATAGTGGCACCATGACCCATACAGCCACTCAGGTCTGTATTGGAGTGGCTTGCTATGTGGAGGCTTCCTATGTCTCTTCTCTCATCTCTGCGAGCATTTGGTAACTTTTATGCTACCTCCTTATTGCACATATTTCATTTTATCCATTTACCCATTTTCTAAAGTTTATAATCATCATTTGTCCCTTGAACAAATACCTGAGCACATGTAATAAAGACAAGTATAAGAATGCTACTTGCTTGCCACCATGATATTGTTGCATAACAACCACAAACTTCAACGTTATGTAATCATAAGTTTGATACTCATTTATCTGACAGCTGGGTTCACTAACAGGACTAGGGGTAACTGTTGGTGCAAGTAGGTGGGTGACTTTGGTCTGCTCCACATGTCCCTTATTCTCCAATAGACAACCAGATGTGTTCTCATAGAGCTAGCAGGAGTATGGCAGCAAAGTAGACACCTGCAATGATTTTGGGCACCTATACCCAGGACTGACACACCATTAATTTTGTTTCATGTTATTGGTTAAAGCATGTTATATGACTGAGCCAAGAGGCAGAATGGGAGAACACTACAAACTCATAAGGCAGAGTAGAGGAGAGGGGGCAATGCTTAGCATTCTATCACAGACCCCATAGTCTACCCTCACAGGACAACCTATGAAATTTGAATTTCAGATAAAAAAAACTGTGTTTTAAAAATAAGAATCTGCAAAATATCACATGAAACATACTTGCAGTAAAAAGTTGTTTGTCTGAAATTGAAATGTAGCTTGCACTTTGTATTTTTGTTTGTACAATATGGTATCTCTCCCAATCTGGCTTCTCTTCTGATGTTTTTCTGCTTGAAGAGTGTTTTCAAATGTGTGTCTATATAGGCAACTGAATCTCAACATATCCCGAATAGCTTATTCTCTCACGTTACCCTTTCTGCCCTCAGACCTTCCATTCTAGCATTTCTATCACCCAGTACCCCAAGCCTGAAAAATCAGTAATGAACATAATTCTCAATTTCTCTCCTCTCTTCATTCATTGACCATTAATTCTCCTTAATTCTATCATTTAAATCTTACTGAAAGAGGGAGTGCTTGGGTGGCACAATCTGTATTAATGTTTACTCCTGATTTTGCCTCAGGTCATGTGTTTAGGTCTTGGGATTGAGCCCCACCTGGTGGCTCAGCGCAGAGTCTGCTTAAGATTCTCTCTACCCTCTCCCTTTACCCCTCTCCCCTGCTCTACTTTCTCTTTTTAAAAAAATAATTAATTAAAAAAATAAAACAGATCTTACTTGAAGA